ACGCTAATAATTATCATTAGTAACAAATGTTGTTGAACTTTTTCAATAAAATGAAAGGGAGAATGAAAAAATTCAACACGGTAGTTACCTGGTAGATACTAATAGTCTGGCTGTGTTAAACCTGCACCGCATTAAGAATTTTAATGTTTTCATTTCTTAAAATTGTTTATTGTGTTATGAAAATTAATTATTAAAACAAATTTTAAAGATAGTAAACACGAATGACACGCTCAACTACGGGCACAGTTTGTAAAAATGTGTCAATTAGAACTTAATTTTTTTTTTAATTGAAAATGTGTGAGGTCGCACTTTCTCATCCTCCTGGTTCTCTCTAGCGTAACGCACCAACCCAAAATTTTATATCCAAACTGACGAGTTGTACTGAAAAGAACCTCATTTCGTTGTATCATCAAATGTGGAGTGTTAATTAACTACAATGAGGATATAAACTTATAAAGCGGGGTCTCGGCCCACGTGGTAGCGTTACGCGGCCCCGCTGTGCGGCAGCGTTCTACTTTGCCTCAGCAGTGGCGAATCACCATGAGCGTCAGTGGTGACCGACGACACGCAGCCCGTAACAGCCAAGTTTACTTTAAAAACAGTAGTTTTGGTGACTCCTTGCATCATTAAGTGCCGAGATATGCTGTAAGGACAGTTAAACTCAGGCTCCTCAACGCGAACCAAACTGTATTGGAGTGCCTACGGATACCTTAAACGAAATAGGTAATGAAAGTGATTATCTGCGAACACCTAGCAGATATTAACACCGCAAAACTAATCTACAACAACAACAATTCCAATAGCAGCAGCTTTTTTTTTTACTGCAACTTCATCAGTTGCAAACTCAACTGGAATTCGCGCAACAAGGACAATTTGAGTCGGAGCTAATAGTAGTGCCTCAACAGCCTCATGGCCAGCCTCCGCTGATATTTCAACCAGGAGCAACAGTTGCCGCCCAAGGAAACCAACAAGGTGGCGCATCTACCTCGCAAAATGCACCAGTAAGTGGCCTTAACGCCGATATCAGATCGTACGGTATGAAGCGCAAAACCTCTCATGAAGAGCGTAGTGAAATTGGTTATAATTCTCGTGTTCCAGTCTCATCTAGACATAAATTGTTTGAAAACTGAAAGTGATTCTATGGAGCACAGCCAATTAGAACCAGTGCAAGTGAAAATCTCTCACATTAATATTCACAAAGTAGATATTTAGAATAGGTTAATATTATACAACTCAAAAAGCCCCTATCAATGATAATCAAGGATACACCTGCAAGCTACACAGAAAAATATATTAAAGATCAACTTATTCGTATGAATCTACCACTGTTAATAGTTTGTAGACTGACAGTGAGAAAGACCATTCCAGTGTGTTCAGTAGATTTAGAAAACAATTATGTAACTGGAAAGATATGTTCATTACTATAGTTATACATATAATCAAAGTGCAACAAAGGTTAAATTCCAGAGTAATAATGGGTAAAAAATGTGAGATATTCTCCCATTAACAAGTCAACTGCGGCTAGCATTCCAGATGCGTAAAATTCGTAACGCGTTATCGTATTCGAAATGCAAAAAGACTAAAGACGCCTCTCCACAATGTGGTAACTACATGAGTACCGTGCTAAACATTTTAGAGGTTGTAGCTATTATAAAGAATATATACATTTATTGAACTTCATAAATTGCAATTGATAGTAAATCAAAGAACTATTGGACTTAAGTCTCCAAAACCGCCACCACGATTCAGAAAACATTTCCCACAACCGAACAAGGCAGCCAAGTTAAAATAGTCAAACAATATTTACTGCCAAACTTACTAACTACCCAAATATTATATCGATAATAGTTTGCCAAGTTGTATCGTATCACAAATCCAAAGTATGGTAGTGACTATAATTACATCAATAATAAATAATGACAACTATTCTAAAAGTAGCTAAGCTATTAAACTGAAACGCCAACGGCCTAAAAAGCCAAGAAAATAGTCTCCGATGTTTTCTGGAATATCACCGTACTAATATTGCCTCTAACATGGAAACTCATTTAATTCCAGGTGAAAGATTCAATATACCGGATTTCATCTCGTATCAAAATGGCAGAGAAACGTTGTATATAGCAGGTGGTGTATCTATATTTATATTGAAGAACGATAAACACGCGCAAGTTCCGACACCTAGTATGTCAAAAAACCTTGAATCTATCGAAGTACAAATTGAAATTAATGGTAAACTTTAACTATTATTGCAGGATGTAAAACCTCCTAACAGATCTTTTCCGGAAAACTCATACAGACGTACTATATTCAATGAAAACAACCCGATATTATTATTAGGCGATTTCAATAGTAAAACTGCAGGGTGGTGTTGTAACACGTTCTTAGTGTGTGTTGCTCGTGTATTTGTACTCAGTCTATACCCATTCCATCTTCCGGTGTTGGACAGCCGCAAATGAGCGCCATCCGAGGACTTGCCCTGAAGATTACTTTCTTTCTTGGGATTGTGGCGAGGTGCCGGGAACACGGAGCATTGAAATCGTGGGCAGCTCATTAGAGTTCTCACAATTTTGTTACATAAACTCTGCAGTTGTCGTCTGCGCTTTCTTGCGTTGTTGCTACCGCGACCTATCTTGCCTACCCTATTGTAATAGTACCTTCTCATTCTTCGCCTTTCTCTAGAGGCTCTCTATTCCAACCTTCTTTAGAATTATTTTTAATTTAATAATAATAATAATAATAATAATAATAATAATAATGCCGATACGATGGCCGAAATGGCTAAGGCAGTAGCGGTCCCGGACCAGAAGATGGCAGGCACGAGTCCCTTCTCAGGCATGGTTGTGTAGTATGTGTCTTTGAACGTTTGTGTGTATCTATTTCATCATTCATCATCATAATAATTTCATCCCATCCCCCACGGCGAACAATCCTGAAGTATAAAAGTGGAATCAACATTAAAAATGCTGATTCCCACTTACAGGAAAAGTAACATGCACCTAACCTGATAATCACGTCGAGCCCCCGGTAAGAGTCGACGTATCGCATGGCTCATTGATGGTCGAATTTGCGAAAAAACAACGACAACAACAACATAATAATAATAATATAATAATAATAATAATAAAAATAATTAATAATAACCAATAAAATAATAATAATAACAATAATAACCACACCAATGTTCTGGATGCAACACAAGAAAGAGACTGATTCTCCACCACAAACCGAACCCGCATCGAAAGCCACTCTTTGAGGGTGCAGAATGGTGGACCGGATGGGGTTTCCCGCAACGGCTGCAGGCAGTGGACCTGATTACTACACTTAGGATATCGTTTCCTTCCATGCTGGTTTGCACATCGGACGACGAAGTTTCTATACAGTTGTCTTGCCTATCTACTGCAAATGCTTTTGCCTCCCTTCAAAGGACCTCTTCGAGCTTCAGACCTTTCTCAAAAAGTCCTCTGACAGATTTTTCGACAACGATGTTTCGAGAACGAGCAACCGGGTGTGTGGTATTTGCAAGTGTCACCATCGTGGCCTTACAGTTGATTGATCGATGATTTCTCGAACATCATTAGTCCCGTAAATTTAGTGCATGTTTTTCTTTGTGAGGCGCAATTTTCTTCCCCCGCTGGATGGCGAGATCCGGTGCTGACCTAGCCGTCAGCTAGTAGGTTTGTCCCCAACCACATGGCCTAATGGAGTACACGTGCAGTTATAACAAAACATAATGGACATGCGCTCTTGCGCGCGTTTTGTTAGGCGAGAGGCCCCCTGCTTGAAATTCAGCGCGCCAGTGCGGCCGTGCTCATTCTGTCGCCCGCGTGTGGAAAGCTGCGCGGCAGCCGAGGCCTCCTGCGAGGAATTCGGAGGGCACGCGCGGCAACCGCAGCGCAGCGCAGTGCAACGCGACGCGACGCGAGACGCAGCGCCTGCCGGCCGCGCGGTTGGCACGCCGAGTGCGGCGCGGCGCGGCGCGGGGCGGCGTGCGCGAAATGCACGCGCGCTGCCAGCGGCGGCGGCGGCGGCGGCGGGTGGGCGCGAGAAAGTCAGCGGGCGGGCGCCCCACGCTGAGCTGCGGTCGGCGGCAGCTGCACTCCCCCTCCCCCCTCCCGCGCCCGCCTGCGTCAGCGCGACCCGAGCGCACCCTGCCAGCACGCGCGCAGTGCGCCGCCCGCCCGGTGCACGCGGCCGAAAGCCCGGAGGAGAATTCTGGCGGTCGGCTGGTCTCATCTGTTGTTTTCCGTTATTTGTCCCAGCAGTACCCTGACAAACGGGCTGCCTTTACCTTCCGCTTCCTCGTCCTGTCCTCACATCTTACATGCACTACACTCCCACACATGTCGGGAGATCAGTCGGAACTTGTCACGGCTTGTTCTTCCCGCAAGCTGACGTACGTCGACGCCCGATCTCACCAGCCAGCTGGGAAGATAACAGCCACATTGCACGATAAAACGTGCACTACACTTACAGATCCAATAACCTTAGCAGTTAACGAGCCCGGAATCACTAATCATTATTCGCGACCCGGGAGCACCCTTTCAGCCGGCACCCAGTGCAATGCCATGTGCAAGTCCACATGCGTGAAATACGCTTCTTTCTCATTCTCTCTCTCTCTCGGAAATGCGCTTCAATTCATACGAATTACTGTTTTTTAATTCCCCAGATTACAATCCATGTCTGCATTCACGGTCCATCCACCGTTCCCGCTCTAGCGCAATGCTGTTTGCTACCAAATGTATCCAGCACCAAATGCGCGCTCAATCGCTGCATCTAGCGGCTGCGCCCTCGCGCCAGGAATTCTCCCTGCCAACGAGCTTTTATTCTTACGGTTTAAAATGACTTTCTAGACTCAGGGTTATTTATCGCTCAGTGGAGGTGCCAACACTCGTCACGTCATCATGTTGGCTCTGTACGCTATGTATTGCTACATTTTTGCTTACGTGTTTGTCTCTAAAATCTTCTTCAGATGCATATGCTGTATATTTTTTTTATTTTTGGCAATGAGTCTGAGCGCTAAAATAGGTAAATTACTTTGAAGAAAAAAACGGTACTTTCATGTTAAAAATCAATTTGGTCTACTTAATATTGCTCAATTTCAAATGTATCAGCTCTTTTGGTATATTTTTAATATTAACACTTTTCAACTACACTCTCTAATGTCATTGACATTGTCCACTAGCAAATACAATTTTGTATACGCTCTCTCTCTCTCTCTCTTCTCCCTCTCTCCTCTCATCCTCTTTCTCTCCTCGTCCTCTCCTCTCTAATCTATACTATCTAATCTATCTATCTATCTATCTATCTATTCTATCTATCTCTCTATCTCTATCTCTATCTCTCTCTCACAACACACACCAACAGTTCACAGTTGTAACATGCGCTTGTAACGGTATTTTCTCGGGGCGCCCTAATTTTCAAGGTTTGCGATTTTCCAGTCATAATCAATTATCATTCGCTCTAATTCGTTATTGGAATGCACTCTGTTGGGCGAAGCGCTATGCGCCGTCTGCCCTATTCACGCCGCGAAGCGCACTTCCTTTAGGATCTTCCGAGCTGAAATCCGTTTCGACACATTCTGGTTAATTTGTTTTCTTCAATCTCAGTAAAACGTTCATTTGAATTCTCGCTTTTAAAGAAGTTTCAATCGATCATTCTAACAGCGAGTGCTCCACAATTTCACTTCAACACACGTCAGTTCTCCAGTTATCAATAAGAGCTTCCTAATCAAATTTTTAACACGCGTACTATAATACTATATTCATTAAACGATCTCTAATGTCATTTTCGATGCATGCTCTTCTGCATAATGTTTAACATGCGCTCTACTTTTATCGATTTCCGCATCATCCCTCTGTTAATTTTAACATTCAAACATTGAACATTTTAATTCACATGCTAATATTTTATTACTTGCAGTTAAAAATATTTTCTCTGCAAATAGATTATTCTTTAGTTGTGTAACATCAAAAACATTTTAAACCTGTGTGACAGTCTCTGGAGGAAACGCAGATAAAGAGATGATCCTAACAGCTCTCAATTTGGAATGTTATGAAATCTCTCTGTGAATCCGTGGGTCGTTGGACGTGGGCAATGCTCGTTCACGGGATGTGAAATGTTTAGCACTTCGCTGTTGTCGTATCCGTGAATCAGCTCAAGTGTTCCATTTAATATTTCTTTCACGTACTGGGACATGCAAATCAACTGAGCTACACAGTGAAACTGCCTCTTACTTTCAACATAACTAAAGAAATAATTTGTGTTAACATGTGTGATGCGTTCCTTCTTGTGGAATAATTGTCTGCCGTGAAAGTGCAATATACTTCTGATGCTAGGGAGTTCAGTTCAGACAGTACAGTTTTTCCTGTTATTACATAATTAGATAAACCACTAATCATGAATGGAATTTTGCGATGATAGTATTTTGTGCTACTTTTATGAGAGAATTAATAATACTTGATGATTCATAGTGAGTCAGAACTTTGAAATGTCTAGATAAACCGTCTCGGCCCTTCCTCTATGAAGTTTATTTTGTGTTCGTTTGGTAGGTTATTAGTATGTTGGCCTAAATAATATATTAATTCAGAGGTAGATACAATAAATAAATATTTTTCGTTTCTCAGCCATTATGCATGAAGATTTTTAATAAAAGACTTAAAGTTTTAGTTAGGATTGTTTAGTTACTAATTCTCTTATCCGACATTTCCGACTTATGTGAAACGTACCCGATATATGTGAAACTCACCTGGCAAATGTGAAATTCACCATCCTTGTGTTAGTTGTGCATGAGTGCTTAAGCCACATTCGATATATGTAGGGGTTGGCTACAATGTAGAGGGGCAACGTTTATAATTCATATGCGTCTTTATTCTAAGAAGACAATTTTATTACAATCCTTCAATGTAATCACCGTCTACCACACGCGTCATTGCACACTGTTACGAACGCTGTCAATTTACACCGCGACCATCTTTGTCGATGTTCCACATGGTGCATCATATTTGGGAATGTGGGAATGGTTGTTGCTCTTGTGTCGAAGTGCAGGTCGTCATCGCACGGGCTCATATGTGGTGAATCCGGAGGAAATTCCAGTAACTACCACCAATATTTATGTGAGAGTTCCGGGTGCAGAAGCGTTAGCCGTTTGACACCGCGGATTAACGAGAGGGATGATGGGAGTTCGTACCAGAACGTGCAGTGTCTTCCTTCTAAAGGGGAACGAAAGGGGTGAAGCAAGACGTCGTTGTAGAAGTAGGCTGCGTTGGCTCTTTCCGTGTGTGGTCCAGCATTATCAAGGATTACCCCATGGAAATTGTATGGAATGGTCGCAATAAAAATCATGTTCACCCCACCTTGCACAGAGCTCGCATTCTGTGAGCGAGGAGGGCCTGGAGTTTTCATTGAATTGTCTCTCCAACCATGGTCCACACTTGCGAGCCCATGCATCGCCCACAGTTACCATCGTTTCAAAGAAATTGTTCAACGCATTGAGCTACCCTCAATTCGCCCAATTATCTTCAGCCTAGGAAATTTAGCATTTCCAATTAAAACTCTCTTCCTCTTTTCATCTAAACTAAATCGACTGGTCCTACTTTCAACCCCTCTGAACTCAATCGCTTCCGACAATATATCCCTATCTATTCAATCGGGAATTGATAAAGCCATATCCAAATAAACTAGCACTTCATTACACTCCCTACCCAAAACTCTCTTCCTCCATACAAGTATTTCTCCTCATACTGATCTATCATGTGATAACCATCCGAAATTATTATCACCGAATTTTATTTCTGAAGTCTCTTAAACCACGTAAACAAAATATTACGGACTCCTTCCCTTAGCCCATGGACACTATTTTCACAAATAATTCAAACTGCCCATCCCAGCGACTTCTCTCTGTGGAAACGCACACCCTATGTACTAAGTAAACACAAATATAACCCCTCATTTCCAACATACTCCGCCTTCGTCACCTCTCCCATCGAAAAAGCCAACACTCTACCAAACTATTTTGCAACCGTTTTTACTTCTCTCCCGTACACAAACCCAGTACTCAATCAATCAATGAAACAGAATGAAAACAACCCACAAATCACTGTACCACATCTCATAAAATTCCTTACACCATTAGAGTTTCTTTCATTCTTGCTTTTCCTAAAAAGCCCAACGGTCCAGATAAATTGAACATTTTTGTCTTAAAGCAACCTTCTTTCATTGCTGTGGAAAGTATTGCGTACATCTTCAATTCTTTACTCGGAATAACTAGAGAGCATGAAAGAGAACAGGTTGGTAATGCTTCGCATAACATCTTTGTGTCGAACTGTCAATTCGAAACACTTTTCTGCGCTCCACTGTTATTCTTTCTTAAAAGTTACCTAATCGATTTTTATTCAGTATTTTTTTCTGAAAAGAATTTCGGTAAAGGTTCCTAGAAGAGAACAAGAACTAAGGTGCTTACAATACTCAATGTTCGGTATGCAGTACAACCAACATCGTCGGGAATGGAATCGTCGTCATCAGCAAGTGGCGTTGCATCTCCCAAAACGTTCAGGTTGCCTTTTTCACCATCACCACCTCTCCATTGCTGACTCCGTCACCATCACCACAGTCTCACTCCACCTCCCTCTTACCCCACCACCGTCTCTCCACACTCACCACTCCCTCACAATCATCACAATCCCCATCACCTCCTCCTCCTTCTTCACCACCACCACCACCACCAGCATCACCACCTCATTGCTATCGCCGTCACCACCACCACCACAGCTTCCATCCACCTCCTTCTCTTCTGTAACAACTGCACCAACCACTCCGTCACAATCATCACCAACTCCTCCTCCACCACCATCACCACCTCAATACTTTCGCCGTCACCACCACCTCCACCACAGCTTCCATCCACCTTCCCTCTTCCCTAACAACTGCACTAACCACTCCGACACAATCATCACCATCTCCTCCACCACCGCCATCACCACCTCCGCCACAGCGGCCAGCAGATGCTCGATAACCACAAACGCACGTTCCCGCTATCCCCTCCCCCGCTCTGCCCCCGCCACCGCCCTTTGTCCACGCGGGGCCACGCCGGGCCCCGCCGCTGCGGCGTAGAAAGCTACGATGGTCACGAAGGTTACGAAGGAAATGGCTGCGGCCGAGGTGAGAGGGGTACAGCAGGTGGCGATAGGTAGTCGAGAAATTGAGCCGACGCTATCAAACGCACGATGTACGGAGGCACGAGTGACTGCATGGACGATGCGGAGCGTGGTACTGGTTTTGGCGGGCAGAGAAACAGCGGAGTGACCGCCAAGTAGACATACGAGAGAATGGTGTCAGTGTAAAGGCGATTGCGCTGCCGGCAGTCTACTGATGATGAGAGCCGGTCCGTGAATGGTGTGTTGGCAGTAATCCAAGATCTGCTCTAGGAGTGGCGAAATGCCCTGAGATATGCGGTGTTGGTCGCGATAGCAGAAATAACAATGCAAGTCGCGGTCGCTGTTTGATAACGTGGCCGGCGGAGAAAGTGCTGGCAATTGGTGGGGGAGGGGGGAGGCGAGGGAGAGACGTCTGTGGAGACGAGTAGGAAGCTGCAGAAAACAGTTATCGCATCAGAACGTCGCACGCAGCGCAAATTGTAAACTCCTAATACCTGTAACAGACGCTTTCTCTCCCTACATGCTGTGTATTCGAGCTACAACGTGATGTAGGGTTCACACTGAATGTTCTTTCACATTGAATTATGACATAGTTGCTTTCTGTGAGTCTGTGATCTTCATATTTCATTAAAAGAAACCTACTCCACCACTGTGCAGTAATAGTATCTCCCACTACTTTTATGTTTTCACAGTTTTGTACCTTATTGTTCGTGCGTTCCTTTTCAACATCACGGTCGTCCGAGTGGTAATTCTCTTGTAGTTTCTCTGACTCATTCTTCCCCAAGAGACATAAGTTTTCTCTGTTGTGAAAGAATTATTCGCAAGGCTTAACACATATTTAGCAATCGTTTCGGAGGAGGGGTCATGAGGCTA